TTTGGGACCCCGACTCCATCGGGAACCCGACGAACAGCTGCCGGCATACGTCGCATCCGCTCGTGTGGCCGAATCGCTCGAGCCCAGCGGCGCGGTGCTGTCCCCGGGCGAGGGGCACGCGGAGCTTACCGCAGCGTCGCCGACACGACTGGCAGCGAGGCCTGCGCGCTGCCACGGCACGCTGCGGTCGGGCGCCCATGCGACCGCCTCCCTGCGAGAAGCGGTGGAGAAGGAGGAGCGAACACACGAGGAGGAGGAGGAGGAGGAGGAGGAGGAGGAGGAGGAGGAGGAGGAGGAGGAGGAGGAGGAGGCGACCGAGACGAGGAGGAGCAGGGAGGAGGAGGAAGAGGGTGACGCTGGAGCGCACGCGCCACAGCCGCTGCCAGGGACGGCGCGCGCGAGAGCCCGAGCGCCGCCCTCTCGCGGGAGGCGGCGCGGGGCTGGCCCGATTTCATCGAGCCCGGGCGGCGAGAGAGGCACGGGGCGGCGGCACGGAGGGCGCAGAGGCCCGCCGCCCGCCCGAGGGCGGCCACTTCGGGCACCAGTCTTGACGCCCGGCTGCTCCTGCACGACGGCATCTCGGCGGCATCTCGGATGCTGCGTCCGCGAGCGTCGTCGGCGCACCCACGGCACTCCTCGCAGGCGCCGGTTCTGGTTTCTGACAGGGAAGCTACATTTGGCTTTATACACCTCTCGTGGTTTCCATCGCACACTGGATATAGGGTGCGGAGTCCGTGCGCAGCCCGTCCGCACCCACAGCACTCTTCGCAAGCGCCGGTGTTATTCCGACAGTGAAGCTACATTGCTTTACACATCGCATGTCTTATCGCACATTGACTATAGGGTGCGGAGAGTCCGTGCGCAGCACGTCCGCACGGAGCCCACTTCCCCCGCCCGGACCTCAGCCCCTCCCGACCGACGGTGTGCCGGGTCCGTGCGGGGAGCACGTCCGCCCGGAGTGCCCCGTCTCCGTCCGGACGCCCCCCCGTCTGGAACTGAGCTCCTCATGACTGTGCGGAAGCTTCGCGTCGTGTCGGCTGGCGGCGACCCCGCCGCTGGCGTTCAACGTGGAACGCCGCCGGCGACCCACAGAATCGGTCGACGTCGAACGATCTGACGTTTCGGAAACGGCCGATCGTTCAAGGTTGAACGATCCTCGCGGTGTCAGGGGCCAACGCCGACGTCGCCACGACGCGAACTTGTCGTGCGCTGAGTCCGTGCGGAGTAGTCCGCACGGAATGCTCGGTCTCCGTCCGGACGTCCTCCGTCCGGACTGAGTCAGAAGGGGAAAAAACACGGAGACGCAATTAATCGTCGATTCCCGGAAAATATGGTAAATGTGGGAAGTGGGCGGGAAGACAAAAACCCATAATATATGGGGAAAATATTGGGAATCCTGTTATTTGTGTCTATCTATTTGTGTGTCCCATGGCCTCTTCACTGAGCTCCTCCTGGCTGTCCGTGCCCGCCGCGTGCGCGACGAACGCTCTGAGAGCTCAGCCAATTTGCCAACGAGCCGTGGAGAACTGCCCTCAGGCCCTGGGAGGCTCGGGAGCTCCCGAACGAAGTGAACCCCACGTTCCCCCTCTGAAATCGTGGGGGGTACGGCAGGTCTGTGTCGTGCCGACCGTCGGCGACCCCGCCGCCGGCGTTCAACGTGGAACGCCGCTGGCGACCCAGAATCAGTCGATGTTGAACGATCGGACGGTTTGGAAACGGCCGATCGTTCAAGGTTGAACGATCCCCGCGGTATCAGGGACCAACGCCGGGGTCGACACGACACGAACCTACCGTAGGGGTAGGGTTCGCACGTGGCCCCCCCTACAAGGGGTGCGCAGGGGCGCCGGGCGCCCACCACGGGCTCGACTGCCGGGCCCACGAGACGGCAGCCTGCGCACAGCCTGAAGACCTACAGTCGACGTTGGTAGCGAGGGCGCACGGCTGTCCATGGGGTGATTGCCCCTGCGCTCCTGCCTGGCGTCCCTGGGGTGTTGGCAGCCCGCCGCCCCAAAAGTGCCAACACTCCGGCGTCCAAGGCCCTGGCGTCCTTACCGCCCGTCTGTATGACAGATTTTGACTGCAACTGCCGCTGCATGCTTTTGGGACGCGATTGGGCAGTCTCTCCCCACGCGGTACGGGGTGATCTCATCGCCCCCCCTGCGTTGCGATGATGTGCGATGATGTAGACGGAGAATAGACAGCACCCTGTCCACGAAGGCGGTGCGAGTACGACGCCGACCCGCGCTGCGGGGCGAGCTCCTCCCCCCTCCGCGCTGCGGTGATGTAGAAATCGAAAAGTCAGCTCGAATAGGGGGTCGTCTACAGAATTGATTTACCCCCGAATTGATTTTCTCGTTGGGTCATACGTAGAATGTTCATAGATCTACGACGGTTCTACGCATTCCTCTTGGATTCGAAGAACAAATGAATTCTGGGGTAAATCAATAATGTAGTCGATCCCCTCCTCGAACAGTGGCCTGTCCACGAAGGCGCTGGGTCGCGGAAGCAGGAAGTGTCGGAGTGCGGAGGCGGAGAGGGAGGAGCTGTAACGTGAACGTTGCATGCGGAGCACTGGGCTTGGAGCGCCCGTGCCACAGAGGGCAATCCAATTGCGACGCTCGCGCCGGCAGTCATAGGAGGGAAGGGCACCCACATCGCTACCCTTCGCCCCGTGTTCCCCTTTTTCGGCCTCCCAGGAGGCCCTCGTCGTCACCGCTGGAGTCGCCTCGAAGTGCTGGTGGTTAACGCACCCCCGGCCGAGAGGTCCGGGGAGCAGCGGCATCGGTGCCTTCCCGCCTCCCCGCCAGCAGCGCAGAGCGGCGGGTCTCGGAGTGGCCCAAGCTTCACTCGAGCCGCGGCGAGAGGGACAATCTGCACGCACAACCGCGAACGCACGAACAAACGCTCTGGGCGTTCAAGGGCCGGGCCGAGCTCCAGGCCCAGGTTCGCACGTCTGCGGGCGCGTGCAAGCCAGCTGGGCAAGAAGAGGTGGCAAGGAGCTCGCGCGAGGGACCCACGCCCAAAGCTGGCCAGAATGAGGCACAAACACACAATTCAAAACAAATGTGAATCATCGATTTGGGATCCTTCCCCACCCCCTATTCTTCCTATCCCGGCCTTATGTCCATGTTCCTCTTCTCCTATCATTCATCTTGTCGATGCCACCAGAGCAGCAGGATAATTCCAGTACGGATCCTCATACATAAGAGGAGAATAGTGATAATGGATTGGTATTGCAAGAATGTGTGAGGTGCCGCGCACATTCGGCGCCACTCCCGTCATTGCGAGATCTGATCAGTTGCCGGGCGCACACGGGTTATCAGCGCCCCGTTCCTCGCTTCTTGGCATCTTTCACCAGCACGTTCCCCCGACGCCCACCCCCGTTCACGCAATAGTTGATCAGGCGCTGTGAGCACCGCGCCGCGCCACTTCCCCCCTCTATCTCCAAAGCATGCCGACGCCGTGGCAGATGTCGGCATCGGTGGCGATCTGAACGGTCGCCGTTGGACGCGTCACGGTTCCGTCATTGCCCTCCCAGCGTCTGCTGCCCCACTGCCCTCCCCCGCACGTGCCCTGGTCCTCGAATGTAACTGCGATCCCGCACGCCAGGGCACACCGCACCTACGAGTGAAGGCGGAAACAACGACACGAACATACATTGAATAAGAGGTCCACGGAGGGCCGCGCCAGAGCGCTACCGGCGGGGAGGTCAAGCGCCGATGCCATGGGCCCGCCCAGGCCTGACTCGCTTACGCGTGTGATTTGTCTTGTTCTTGATATCTATATATATATACACATATATATATATGTGTATATAAATATGTATGTCTGTCTATGTGTGTTGTTTCTCTCTCTCTCTCTCTTTCTCTCCCTCTCTCTCTCTCTCTTTCCCCCCTTTTTTCTCCGTGTCTATGCATATGTGTATGTATATTTTGACACCTGCATAAACAGATGCGTGTATATGTATGTATATACATATATATATATATATGTGTGTGTGTTTGTCTGTGTGCTTCTGTCTGTCTGTCTGCCTGTCTTTCTCGTTCGCTCTGTCTTTGGCTCCTCTCTCTCCTGCCCTCTCGTCGCCGCAGGTCTGTCGGCGCTGCGATGCCTTCCACCGGCCCCACCCACTCGTGCGGCCCAATCCTGGACGCTTCTTTCCGCGCTCTCGCCAGCTTCATTCCGCTCAGTGGGGCTTCATCCCGGGCTTCGTCTGGGCTGATTTGGCTCCATGGCGCCTCAGTCGGGTTCCATGGCGATCTATTCTGACAGGTTCCAGCGGCGTCGCCTCGGGAGTTGCCTCCTGACTCGATGCACTGGCGCTTCCCGGCGCCAGAAGGCGCCGCGAAAACCAGCCACGCCGGCCGATTCGCCAAATTCTTCTATTGAGCCTACTCTTGGCACACTCGATCCCCTCTCGCTCTTTGTCTTTTTGGCTCATCTAGCGACATGAGGCGACATAAGAGATAAGAGACATCTAGCGACACGGGTTGACTCCTGTTGCCGGGCACGCCAGCAGACTGGAAGGCCAGGGAAGGTAGAGGGCCGGGGTGGTCCCATCCAGTCCCTTCTCTCTCTCATCTCAGACTGGCCGATCTCGCACCTTCCCCTCTCCGGCCCCGCGGGCCTGGCCCCATCCACCACCTGCCGAGAGAGAGAGAGAGAGAGAGAAAAAAAAAAAGACGCCGGGGGGGGGTGATGGCTGGGTGGGGGATGTCATGGCCAGGGCCATGGCGTCTCCCCGGACTTCCTGGCCCCCCGCTCCCTGTCTCAGGAGGAGGAGGAGGCGGAGGAGGAGGAGGAGGAGGAGGAGGAGGAGGAGGCGGAGGAGGCGGAGGAGGAGGAGGCGGAGGAGGAGGCGGAGGAGGAGAAGTGAAGGCGTCCCCTGCCCCCCCCCCACCCCCCCTCGTCCGCGCACATGCCCCCAGGCCGCGAGCTCCGAGCCCCCCTGCTCGGACGCCGCCCCCCCCCCACCCCGCTCTTCTCGGCGCCCCTTGGAGGAGCTCCACCTCGGGCACCTCGCCGCCAGCTTCGCCCTCCGCGACACGCCCGTGGAGGCCTCCGCGCGCGCCTGCGGCGCGGCGCCTGCGCGGCCGGCGGGGCGCGGAGGCGGCGGCGGGAGGAGCTCCGCGCGGGGCGAGGGGGGAGGGCGAGGGCGAGGCGCTCTGCGCGGGGCGGGGGGGAGGGGAGGGCGCGGGGCGGGAGGAGCTCTGCGCGGGGCGAGGGGGGGGGAGGGCGAGGAAGAGGCCTCCCCGCCCGGGGAGCGCGCACTCTCGGGCGATCGCAGACATGGATCATGGGGGCGTGGATCAGCGACGGGTCCCGCTTCCATGGGACATCGCGGATTGCCGCCGCCGAGCGAGGCGGCACCAGCCGCAGTTGGGCGAGGGCACCTCCCGCGATCCATGGATCAGGCGACCGCGCGCCAAATCCATGGATCGCCAATCCATGTTTGCGCGCCCCCGATACTCTGTGCCCTTGAGGGCCTGCTGGCTTTTTTCCTCTCTTGTGCCCATCCGTCCTCTGCTACGCCCGCCTTGCTCAATTCGGTCGCTTTCAGGTTCTGAGTCTGCTTTTTGGCACACACCAGGCAGACGCAGCGAGCACTGGATCAATGTCCGAGCAACGTCAAAAAAGCAGGAGGAGGAGGAACAGGAGGAGGAGGAGGAGGAGGAGGAGGAGGAGGAGGAGGAGGAGGAGGGGAGGAGGGGAGGAGGAGGGAGGAGGAGGAGGAGGAGGAGGAGGAGGAGGAGGAGGAGGAGGAAGGAGGAGGAGAGGAGGAGGAGGCGCTCTCCTGCGCGATTCGTCGACGGGAGCGGGGCCCGAGGGCCCCGCCCCGCCCAGGAGCGCCCGGCTTCCTCATATTCGCGGGGGCCCGTCGCTGATCCATCGGCGATGCAGCGCCGGTTCCAGGGCGGCGCTTTCCTCTCCTCCGCCTCCTCCTCCTCCTCCTCCTCCTCCTCCTCCTCCTCCTCCTCCTCCTCATCATCATCATCATCATCATCATCCATCATCATCATCATCAGCATCATCATCATCATCATCATCATCATCATCATCATCATCATCATCATATCATCATCATCATCATCATCATCCCCTCACCTCCTCCTCCTCCTCCTCCTCCTCCTCCTCCTCCTCCTCCTCCTCCCCCTTGGCTTTCCTCAGGCGCGTGGAGGTCGGCCGTTCTCATAGCGGGCTTCACGCTGCGCGTCCTGCGGCCGCAGCCGCTTGGGGCCGAAGCGCGTTCTCTCGGAGCGAGCCCATGAAGCCAGAAGTCACTACCGGAGCCCCCCACCCCATCTTTCTGGGGCAGCTTTCGAGCCGGATCGATCTATGATGACCCCAGGGCGCGTGAATGTGCGAAAACGCCCGCATGACAAGCATTACAACGCCCGGGTCTCAGGGAAGCGCGTTCCCAAGCGCTTGAAACGCAGGGTAGCCTGAATTTTGCTCAGCTGCCGTCAACCGGCTTGCCCGAGCGCGCGTGCGGACTGCCTCTGCCGCGCCGCCACGGAAAACAAAATGTTGATCAGGCCACGCGCCCGTGTCTTCCGTCTCGGCGGCGGCGGCCCCTGAGCGTGGCTGCGCTGGGCTCGGGCGCTCTCCGCGAGGCTTCCCCCCCCCCCCGTTCCGCCCTCCCGCCTTCCCCCCCCCCCTGCCCTCCCGCCACCCCTCCTTCTCCTCCTCCTGGTCCTCCTCCTCCTTCCTCCCCCCCCAACCCCCCCTCCTCCTCCTCCTCCTCCTCTTCCTCCTCCTCCTCGTCCTTCTCCGCCTCCTCCTCCTCCTCTTCCTCCTCCTCCTCCTCTTCCTCCCCGTCCCACTGCAAGATAAGTTTCGAGCCCCCTTCCCCAGGCACCCGAGGCGCAGTGGGAACGGCAGGTTCGCGTCGTGCCGATCGGCGGCGAACCCGCCGCCAGCGTTCAGTTCTGAACGCCGCTGGCGACCCAGCATCGGTTGAAATCGAACGATCCCGCGTTTCGGAAACGGCCGATCATTCAAGGTTGAACGATCCCCGCGGTGTCAGGAACTGGCGCCGGGGTCGCCACGCCACAAACCTGCTGTAGCAAATCATGGGAGCCTCGTGTGTCCTCGTAGCTGCGCTCGCGTGCGCGGGCGCTGGGCAGTCGCTGAGAAGGCGCCGATCTGGCGTCCGTTCGCGTGGCTCTGCGCCGACTGGAGCCGGTTTGGCGTCGACTCGCAAGAGCCAGCAGCATGGCGCTGCAGGCTATGAGTTGCCACCGAGGGTGTGTGTGTGTGGGGTGGGGTTGGGGGTGGGGGAGGGGTGGGGGGGGGGGGGGGTAACTGCGCTCTATGTGTGGTGTCAGCCGGCGGGCTTTGTTTTCGCCTGCGGCCTCCGGGGCCCGCCATTCGGGTCGTGGGAGCACCGCCCAAAGAAATTCGGGGCGGCCAGCTGGCCCCGGAGAAGAGGTCGCGATCTCCGTGGGGCCGCGCAGCGTGAGCATCGTGTCGGCGGATGTCTCGGGTCGCGGACTTTGGCTCAGCGTGTGTCGCCGCAGGTTCTGGTCCACGACGCGCTTCGTCGCGACACATCTATCCACGCCCCAGTCCCTGAGCGTCAGCGTCTCCGGTTTTTCATGGCCCCTTGGCCCGCGGAGCGGAGCGACACGCTTCCCGTTTGCATTTCATAGCATGTCGCTGGGGCCGCCGCCGCGACACGCTATGCACATTTGTTTCCGTAGGTTACCAGCCTGGAGCATATCCCTATACCTATGCTGGGCATCTCCTCATCACGATGCCAATCTTAGGGAGTCCCTTCTTTTTTGAGGGCGCATCCCTAAGATTGTCATCGCCTTTTGGCGTGTCAATCTTAGGGATAGGGATAAGTTCGAGGCTGGTAAGTAGGTGTGTGCGTATCACTCACGGCAGCTGCGGCGGCCTGAAGGAGGGGGGGGTGCTGACTAGGGGCGTGTGGTTATCACGGCCGTCGGGGCGGCCAAGAGGGGTTTGATGGCTAGGTTGCTGTGGATATCAAGGCCACGGGGGCGGCCAAGGGGGAGGGGGGTGCTGACTAGGGGCGGGGGTGGTTGTCATGGTCGCGAGGGCGGCCAAGATGGGATTGGTTACTTGGCGGTTGTGCGGGTATCATGGACGCGTGGGCGGCCAAGAGGGGGGGGTGCTGACTAGAGAGGGGAGGGAGGGATAAGCGGAGGGAGAGGGAGAGCGAGAGGATATAGAGAGAGGGAGTGAGAGAGATAGAGAGAGAGAGGAAAACGAGACAAACCAGGAGAGGAAGATAATTGGGCCAACGTATGGCAACTTATTGGACTATGTGTTTCCCCAGCCGTTGTAGAAACCCTTCGGGGGGGGGAAAGTTGGGGGGAAGGGAAAAAGGGGAGAGCGAGAAAAAGAGGACGGGTATGAGGAGGAGGAGGAGCAGGAGGAGGAGGAGGAGGAGGAGGAGGAGGATTTATTTGGAGGAGTCTGTGGAGGCATTTTGCGGCCTTCTTGAGCTCTCCTACACTGGGGCTTCCTGAGGGTCTCTTGGGGGCGCCATAACAAGTGGTCGTCTTGGATGTCCGTTTGACCGTTTTGCGGCCCTGTTGAGGCGTCTTCGGGGCCTCCTGGATCATCTTGGGGCTCTCTTCGGGGCTTTTTGGTCGCCCTGGAGCTATCTTGGGCCGACTTCGGCGCTGTCGGAGGCCTGGAAAGGCGAGGACACGATACCATCATGTGATTGCGACATAAGCGATGTTGGGCTCGTTGGGCCCTCTAGGAGGGCCTCCTGGAGGCCTCTGAGGTCATCTTGAGGCCGTCTGGGGCAATAGTGCGCCCACATGAGTCAGTATTGGATGCAACTTGGGTGGGCTCGGAGGCCTCTGGGACCCTAGTTGTCAGTCTTGGAGGCCATGTTGGACCATCTGTGGCCACCATCTTGATCATCTCGTTAGAATGTTGTGTTGATCCGGGGGGTTCTTCCGGATGGCCAGCCGGATGAGCCGAAAGTCCACTGGGAACATTTCGGAATTGTCCAGAACAGTTACAAGCCTTTGCGGACGCCTAGCGCCCTTTGCGTCGGATCTAGTGACTTTCGGCCGATCCCCCCAACGTGCCTGGGATCTGGGCCACAGGCCTTTGGATGCTTGTTGGGGTCTCTTGGAGTGCTTCTCGGTGGCCCCTTGACGGATCTCTTGCGGCCTCTGGACGGGCCTGTTGGAGGCCTCTTGGGGCATTTGGGGCGCTTCTTTCGGGAGCATGAACCCACAGCCATGCGAGCGGACTCAGGAGCTCTGGCAATGGGGGCCTTGGCTCCCTGAGGAGTGATACAAGTTTCGGCGCAGAGGACTGGAAGTGACCTGGGGACTCCTTGGGACGCTCCACTCAGTGCCTAGTGCCATCGGCCAAGTCGACAGAGTGGGGAAGATGCACCTGGAGCGAGAGGGGACATGAATCTTGGGCATGTGCTGATACGGTGGGGGCGTAGATTCCGAATGTGCCCAGGAGGCTTCAGAGCCTGGAGGCGTCCGCATCTGATGAGGGCGGCGGTGCTATTCGTGGCCGAAGCCTCCGTTGGTGTTCGACCGGCTTCCAGACCCCACGATTCCTTATCCCACGATTCCTTATCCAATGCCCTCACCGATCCGTAGCCATTTTGGCTCAAGCCGTTTCGGCGCGAGCTGGAGTACTTGAGCTGGAGACAGCTCGCGTTTGTGCCCACTTACTTCGAAGCGGCGTAGTGGGCACGAACCAACTTTCACGACGACGGCCCCACCCGTGGCAGCCCGCGGGCCATGGCGCCGGCACAGTCGGACCCTGGCATCATCTCAGGCGCGTGTAAGACACCCCTCTGGTCTTGCTCCTGCGGCTGTGATGGCAACTGGGCTTCCAGGACGCGCTGCCGCCAGTGCTGGAAGGCTGCTCCCTCCCACGTGGTGCAGGCAGCCAAGCTCTCGGCAGCAGCAGCCAACGGGCCAGCACCCAGCACGTCTCGCCCGCGCGGGGCCTGGGCTCAGGGCCCGCCAGGACAGGGACAGCTTCTGGCGCAGCTGCAGCAGTTGCAGAAGCAGGTGGCAGAGCTCAAGGGCGAGGCCCCGCCCCCGTCGGAGCC